ATTACCATGATTTTATCTTAAAACAACTGCATCAGGTTTCTGAGCAATAAAAGATGTAATTTGTATAGTACTAAAATGACAAATAATAATGAAAAACTGGACTCGTCTCACGAAAATACCTATTATTTGAACAATATAGAACTACTGACCAGCAAAGAAGTGATTCTTCACTAGAATCTCACAAACCGCTGCGCATATATTTCAACTGCAATTTTTTTGCGGATTAGTGAGTTTCATGAAAAACAATGTTCATGCGCATGTTCGAGTGACAGTATCTTTTTTTTTTGCTTTCGGTCCCGTTGCAGACGATGTTTGGCTCCCACAAATCTCTGCAGTCTGTGGCTGCCGTGCTCATATTCATGCTTGCAAGCGTCATTTGCCAGGATAACGAGAGGTGGGTTATCTCTGTGTCCTCCAGCGACGTGCAGCTAGTATCCAAAATTGCATTAGCTCACACAAATTTCACAATTTTTCTACTAAGTAACCTGCGTCATACATGAGAATGGAGCGGTAGTGTGGTGCAAACACAGCAATTAAATTCTAAATTAATAACGTTTTGGGCATTTTTTTCTACTTGCAGACGGCTTTATTTTGCAAGACAGCAAATTATCTTTGAAAATGTACTTAAGTTTTTAACTTATGAAATCGAGCCGGCATATTGCACTGTACAAGTAACACAATACTAAATCACCCGCTTAGAGCACATAGTAATGTAACAAAGCAAATCAAACCATAACAGGAATAACCGTTAAACTGTTAAAGTGGCTTCATTATTGTATGTTATGAAAGACTGACACTTGGAAAAAGTCCTAGGGTGACCATAGGATGCCAATGCACAACTCAGGTGATGTACAATGGAAGCCTCGTCCCTTACTGCCCCCTACAGGCGGGCAGTGACGGAGCACCAGCTGATGCATGACCGCGGCCGGGCCATTCAGAGCCTACGGAGGTTGATCTGGCTAACTAGCACCATGGAGGGACTCCACACAGCGCACAGCCGCATCCCGCCAGACGCTGTTCCCCCAGACTGCCAGAGGGAGTACCCAGAGCAGCCGCTGGCCCAGCTGGGGAGGGCAAACAGTACCCCAAAGACACTATGGGACGTCTTCCCTGGTCCTCCTCTCACTGGCCTTCCGCGCTGACGACAAGCAGCCTCCAGCAGCATCTCAGCAAGGTCTCCTTCTGAAGAGCATAAACTCATCCTGGTAAACGCTGACCTCACCTCCTTTTCTGTGTTTCTGTGTCACCAGCTAGTGTGTATCCGGGCTGCTCCTCGCGGCTACCAAAAGCACTCATTCAGGGAAGTCTGAGTACAAACATGAAAAGCCTTTAACATGGGAAACCTTTACCATGGGAAACCTTTACCATGAAAACCCTTTACCATGGGAAACCTTTACCATGGGAAACCTTTAACATGGGAAACCTTTAACATGGGAAACCTTTACCATGACAAGCCTTTAACATGGGAAACCTTTAACATGGGAAACCTTTACCATGGGAAACCTTTACCATGACAAGCCTTTACCATGGGAAACCTTTACCATGGGAAACCTTTACCATGAAAANCATGGGAAACCTTTACCATGGGAAACCTTTACCATGACAAGCCTTTACCATGGGAAACCTTTACCATGGGAAACCTTTACCATGAAAAGCCTTTACCATGGGAAACCTTTAACATGGGAAACATTTACCATGGGAAACCTTTAACATGGGAAACCTTTATCCTGTTTTCTCCTTACATTCAAGTGACATTATTATTATTATTATTATTATTATTATCATTGCTGTTGTTAATGTACTAAGCATCATTCCTCTACTTTAGTTACTTTATAAAAGGTAAAAAAGTGTTCAAATGTATGTAAATATTTTCTCTTTAATGTGACTCAGTCTTGTGGTAAATAAACATAAACTGTAATATTTACGAATTTCAGTGACTTTCTTTAATTTGTACGTGGACTTCTATATTTGTGAGCTTTTCCATAAATAGAACATTTCCATGACTTCCATGACTAAACTTTGAAATAGCAAACATTGAGTTTTACAACAACTGCTATTAAAAAGTATATGTTTTGCTTTCAAGGGGGGTTAAAACCCGGGGAAATCTTTTGTCCACATTTCCCATGACACTTGAATAGTCTATCATATGAGTGTTAGTGTGCAGTGTGTTAGTGTGCAGTGTGTTAGTGTGCAGTGTGTTAGTGTGCAGTGTGTTAGTGTGCAGTGTGTTAGTGTGCAGTGTGTTAGTGTGCAGTCTCAGAGGACTTGAACTATGGAGTCTCCTCTTACCAGCTGCATATAATCTTGGTATCACAGCTGTTCAGCACAGGACTGGAAAGCAGTGTTCATTTTGACAGCATATTTGAAGTCATATTTTAGTATATATTATTTTAGTTTCTGACAGGATAAATGACAGGATATTTAGTCAGCAAAATCTGTGAAAAAGGTTTAGTCATAGTCTAATATTTCATTTTCACATTTCCTTGAAAATTTCACTTCATTTTCTGTGTACACACACAAGCTGGTCTACCTCTATCCTCTCCACAGATTCCTGAAGGAAACATATGTACAGTTGCTATGACATGGCAGTAGGGTTAGAACATGTGGTCTTTACGGACTCAGATTTAACTGTTGTTGTGGTTCTGAAACATTGTTAATATGAAACATGGCATTAATTATGAAATGGCTTTATATTGTAGCGCAGAGCATGTCCCGACCACTGAATGAAATAAATATGTTTGAAAAGTTTGCTTAATGTGTTTCTAGTGGCATAGGGCTAGTCCGCGCCTCTCTGCCTATCGAGTGTGAGCTATTTGCATATTCCCCATGTGTGCTACTCCCCCTTCGTCTAACGATTATTGTTAGTGCCCCCTTTCATGTAAAACTGTACCTTTTGTACAAATTTCACATCTCCTGTATTTATGTGCTTGCAAGTGTTTTTGGCTGCGACTTTGTGTCCGAATTCTCCCCACCACCATGTTAATGTGTGGTTAAAATTTGTGAGCCCCTGCCCCCCAGTGTAACCCCTGGTTTGCAGGATATTAGTGACATTTTGTCTTGTTTAAATGGTTCTGCTGTGTCTGTTTCAGCATATGCAATAAAAAGCTCTTGCTAAACCCAAGTCTGTCATTATGCTATCAACATGTCTGATAGATATGCAGCAATAGGGTTACACCTGGGCTTACAGATGGAGGAGCTGAGTTGGGAGATATTGGAGTTGTTGGAAACCCAGGGCGACCCAATGGCACTAACGGCCCCACAGTGATGGGAGTAGCATAATTCTGGGGCGCAACTGACCGCAGTTAAGACCTACCTCAAGTTGCTGTAATACAATGAAAATGGGTCCCTAGAATCCTACCTTATCCAGGTCTGGCTGGCAATGCAGGTAAAAGACTGGTCTTCCAGAGAGATGGTGGACCACCTGACAACGGTGCTGGAAGAGGAGGCACTGCAGACCTTCCTGAGCCCTTCTATCTGTGAACATGGTGACTGCGGGGCCTTAATCACGCTGGAGTGGCAAGATGAGGGGCAGCTTGTGGATCGGCAGAATGCCGGTGAAAGTCTGGAGGCATTCACAGCTGGAGGACTGCAGATGGCGGCCTACACTCACTCGCGAAGGGCGGCGCAGGACAAGCTGGCCCTCACATTCCGGCGGGCACTTTCCCCAGAGCCAGCACATATGAAGCTGAACCAGCCACATTCATGGTGGCTGTGGAGTAGGCAGAGGAGGCCGAGGAAGTCTTGGGCATAGTCCCCTGTGCACCCCGGAGCAGAGCCTGCTCCGTGAAGAGAGCCGAGGAAGAGGAGATGAGGGAGAACGTGTACGCTGAGAGGAGGAGAAATGTCCATGCGGCAGGGGAGGAGATCAGCCCCCAGCTCCCAAGGGAAGGGCCCCCACCAGTAACAGAACCACAACTCTGTCTGGGATCACAGAAAACAGCAGCACCACAGTGGGCCGTCTCTCGAAATGGCACAGACTGTCCAGGACTTGTGTCGTTGCAGCAGTCAGGATCGATGGTGAGCTCAAGGGCCTGGTGAGCTTGTCTCAGGACTAATTCACTGCCAGAAATAAAGACTGACAGCCCACTTTCCTGGTGCAGCACAGCATCAACATGCGAGATGCCCTGTCCATGGAGTAGGACCAGCTCACCGTGGTGATGGCCACCACCCACACAACTCCAGAAAGAGGCCCACAGAGACAGTGATCGCCAGCAGCTCATCACAGAGCTGCGTACTGACCCTCTGCTCTCCAGGATGAGGGAGTGGCTGAACAGTGGGTGACTGGACTGGGAGGTGAACTCATCCTCCAGCCTGGAGACCAAACCTTATCACTCAAAGTTGTGTAGAATACTTTTACATGCACATGACTTGTATGTGGACATTTATGAACGGAGAAGAAAAATTAAACAATAGCAGAGAGAAGAATGCAATTGAGTCTAGAATTTGGTGATCGGTGTTGACACACCACAACAACGAAATGTGTCCCCTGCATTTAACCCATATGTGACATTGTGACATAACAAGGGGCAGCCAATTCAGCACCCAGGGACCAGTACCTTGCTCAGGGTACCTCAGTGTTGCCTTGCTGGTCAGGGATTCAAACCCACGATCTTTTAACATGCAGTTAAAAGAGTCCGCTTCCCTACCCATTTACTTTCACAGATCAAGCCGTCTGTTGGGCAGTGAAGAGCTTAGCTTTGTGGCATATTTAATAAAATAGAATAAAAATGTACTGTTACTATAATATACCACTTTGCATACATGTACAATTTACAAATCAGAAATTTTGCCCTAAAACGGTAGAATCAAAAGTACAAATAAAATTCAGCCTCCTCTCCAAATCGTGCTTGTTTCTGAATGGTTGTGCAACGTTCACTAAGAAAATCTGCTCATTCCTTGAACTCCAGTACCTGCTGTATTCAGGGAGTCGATCTCTCTCACTGTCAGTTTAATTATTTGTGAGTGGAAACAAGAAGTAAAACTGGCACAAGAAGCAGGAAGAGGCAAAAGCTAAACCACATCCTGACACAGAGGATAAGATATGGTGAGGTCCACGAGGTCCACGAGGTCCACGAGATCCACGAGGTCCACGAGGTCCACGAGGTCCACGAGGTCCACGAGGTCCACGAGATCCACGAGATCCACGAGGTCCACGAGGTCCACGAGGTCCACGAGATCCACGAGGTCCACGAGGTCCACAACTGATGCATTTTAAAACAATGAAGCTGTTTCTGATCCTTGTTCTTCTGAAAGGTAATACTTGTTTTTAATATGCTTTACTCAGCCTGAATTAATTTCTTCATCACTATACAATTTTTATTAAGTCAACAATTTAAAAAAGTCCTATGAATTAAGTAATGTATGTTTCAGTGTTGTGTTGTTTCTCTCTCCACTGTTGGGCTGTTATGTATTGAGTGCTATGGACAATGTAAATCCTTGCTTACAGAAGATAGATTTACCCGCAGTCACCAAGATGAAACATGTTAGTTTTAAACATTCAAGAACTACAATTTTCAGCCTGATTGAGGAAGTGGTCCTCCATAAGAAACCATAGATACCAGTTTGTTACAGTTACTTATATGGTTTTTTTGCACTTTTGTCTTCTCTAATCTCGTAATGAAGCTGATTCCCTTGTGTAATTTCAGTGGGAGTCCAGTGTTCAGTCCCCCGTAAATCACTGTAAGTGTGGTAAAGTGGGGAGTATCTAGTGTTTGGTCTCTGACCATTTTGTCTCTCCAGGTGCCCACTGTCAGACCATATGGGGCCCGAAGGAAATTACAGTCACGGAGCATGAAGATCTGACAGTGGAGTGTAGATATAAGAGAGGATATGAAAACGATGAAAAATACTGGTGTAAAAGAAGGACATTCAGGTCTTGTTCCATTTTGGCAAGAACAACTTCTTTAGAAATATCCAGAAGTGGACTGTTTCTGAGTGAGAATAAGACTCACAGAGTAATAAAGATAATTATGAAGGACATCCAGGAGAGAGATGAAGGGACATACGGGTGTGGAATATCAAGTTTTGGGAGAGATGAACATTCTCCTGTTGTTGTTAAAGTCAAGAAAGGTAAGGGACACATTATTTATATTTGTGATCATTGTTATGTGTGACGTTTTACTTAAAAGTTTGTACAGTGCAGCTGTGAATTACAGGCCAATTGTTTTGGCACATTTCTCAAATGATAACTAACGTTTGCAAAACATCTAGTGTAATCCCTACACCATGATGCAGAGCAGAACATCATTTCTCACTGCTTTGCACAAACTGCAAATGAATTAGTACAAACAGTCTTGTATGGTTTTCAACATTTGGCACAATTTTCATATTTTTTAGACTTGTTGGTCAAAAAAGGATTATGTAGTTTACCATTGTAACAATTTTACACCAAAAACTATAAATGTAAGTAATCACTGAGTATGCCACCACATACAAAACAGTTCACCAAGCTTTCAAAACTATTTAAAACTATATTCCAAAAATTGCAGTGATGCAGAATTATATTTTTGGTTCCCACAGTACATGATTTTGCTACCATTTTGTTTTCGTGGTATATAGTGTGATTTTTTTTTGTTTTTCATTTGCCTTGAGATCTGAAGACAGTACCTGCTCATACGAGTGCTTTCTCTTGCTAGTGAAGTTTACATACTGTAATGTAGAGCTTTGTCATGTTGAAACTGGTGTCTTTGACATCAATAAGAATCAGTCTGCTATAGAAAAATAATCAGTCAGTGATAATGAGAAAGTGGGAACCGACTTTTATTCAGAATTTTGGAGCTCAGCAGTAATACTAATACTTATAAATTTTGACAATATAACTAAACATTTTGACTCTCAAACTGTAGTTAAACTGTACTTCTCATTTTGGTGGCACTGACTAATTCATCAATAAAATTATTTGCTTTTGATACAAGTGAATTGTTTTGGGTGAGATATGGCCTTTTGCTGCTAAACCATAGTGTTGTGCTATATGCATGAACTCTTTTGAGAGATGCTCTTACAGTCCTGAGAATGTTAAGGTATGTTTCCTGAAATTTGCCAAAGCAATCGAGAAAAACTAAGTAATGACAATGACAAGTATAATAGCTTGGAGGGTCTGAAATAACTGACTTGAAGTATAGCAAAATGTGAACTTAGTAGAATTCAAAGAAAATTTAGTGCTTATTTGTTTGTACAGTACAAGAATGCTGTAATCTCCTGCAGTCCAAAAACATACCTTTTAGCTACTCATTGTGTCTAAATTGCCTATAATGTATCATTGCAAGTGTGTATATCTCATTATTTTAATTTTTTGTAGCTCTGCTCATAACTCCAACAAAAGCAAAAGAAATAGTATCTTCAACAGCAAAACCAGAAACAACAATCAGGACGACGAAAGCACCAGTCATAGAGACTCTCAAGTACTATTGTACTTCCCACAGTACTTAACCTGCTTAAATACAAGTGTCTCCTCTTGCTTCTCATTGTATATTAAGCGCATGTAGCAGTACTGTACTGACGTGACCTTGGGACGGTAGATCACAATGAGATCACTGTGTTTCCGCAGTGGAATAGGCTGGTCTCCCACCCACACTGCTGCTGCCATCTCTGTGGGACTTCTGCTGCTGCTCATCTGCCTGTTCATAGCTACTTACATCTGGAGGCTGAAACGTGAGTGGGGGGGGGTCTGGCTTACTGGCTTGCCCATGTTAATGTGCCACCTGAAGTCCCACCTTCAGAATTATTCCTGCATCATCACTTGCTGTTGAAAATTGTGCTCAAGAAATCAATTAAAATGTTATTGTGATGGTACATTGTTTTCAAAAATTAAACATATCACTTAAGAAAAAAATGCTTTTAAAATAATTTGACAGTTGCTATAATTCATGAAATATGAAGCTTTGCTAATCCAAATTGCAAGAGGAAGGTGACATGAAATGGTGAAATGTCTTGGATTTCAAAATGCTTGTTCCGTTATTACAGCACAGTCGACGTAGTCTGCGGCTTTGCACTTTTGTGTTCCACTTTTCAAGTGATCTAGTCCATAGTCTTTAATCCTGGTTTTCTACCAGGTCTCACTCCCGCCATCCACCGCCAGGCTTGGTACCGGTCCCCCACACTCCCGCCATCCACCGCCAGGCTTGGTACCGGTCCCCTACAGCCTTTGAAGCTCTTCATACTCACTTGCTGATTGT